AAAAAAAAAAAGAAGCTCCTCTAATTCTGAAGGTCCTCTGATGGTGCTCAGAAGAAAACCCGGGCCCGATGATTCCCAAACTTTCCTGATAGTATAAATCATCAGGGAGTTTTTATTAAGACTATAGCTTTGTAGATAGGACCCAGCTCTAGAAATTCTGAAACAGGAGGTGTAGGGTAGGGCTCTGAAAATTTCTCTTTGGAGTTAAGTATCTCAACTGTGGGCCATAGGATTTTCCTACTTGTAAACCAAGCCTGATCCGAGGAACTTATCACAGCCAGGTCACTAGGCAGCCAAGTCTGACCCATTTAGCCTCTTCTTAGAACCAGACTCCCTAATTCTTATAGATCCCATGTCCACTGGATTAATTCAGTACAAGGTGTATGATTGGTATTAGAATCTTAAGTAAAAATGTTATATATGTTACTGTTAGGTGTCATTGATAGTTCAAAGTCATAGAGAGCAAACCTGGTTAGGACAGAACATGCCTGATCCTAGAACATCGTCACCATCACTACTGTGGTAGCACATTGTGGCCACTGTGTCAACACACCTCCTCAGGGTCTTCCTCTTGTTACACTGACTGTCTTTTTTACCAAGCAAGATTCTTTATCTAATTTTTTTATAGATTGTCAATTTGATCAGATACTGTTTTTTAAATTTATACTAGATTATTTACAAAATTTGAATACATTGTCTTTCAGACCAAATTCTTCCAATTTTCCTCACCCAATAGATAGTTCTTAAAAGAGCAAAATGCTTAGAAAACAAAAATTACATTTCAAAAGAGCATAATGTTCAAGACAGACCTTTCTCACTAGTTACTATTAGGCTTTCAGAAGACTTGCAGATTTTTTTGGGTGTAAAATTTAAAGATTACCCCAGTAATAGTTTCAAAGGTTTTCTCACACCCTGGCTCCAGATATATCTCAGGGTCCAAGAAGTATTTGGTATTTTCCCCAAAACCATAATTCAAATGCATAATTTGAACCATCATTCAGGTTGGCTTTGTTTTATGTTTTATCGTTCAGCATTTTAAATTCATGTCCCACTTTCCGTTTGAGTGGTTTCAAAGACATTACTATAGCTTGGATTAGGCACACCTTAGTCTTCAAAGTGATATCTTTGGTTCTGACCATTTTCAAGAAGTTTTTTTGCAGCAGATTTGCTCAATGTCGTGATATGTTGTTTGATTTCTTGACTGCTGCTTCCTGTGCAAATCCTTGGTAACTTCTTTTCTTCCTTTATCATGGTGTTGCTTAAGTTGTGAAGATTTTTTTGTTATTTATGTTGAGATGTAGTCTGTACCGAAGGAGGCAGCCTAGCCTTTGACCCTCATCATGAAGTGCTTCAGACCCTCTTTGATTTCAGCAGTAAGTTGTGTCATGTGCATATATCAAGTTGTTAATAAGTCTTCCTCCAATCCTGATGCTGTGTTCTTCTTCATATAATCCAATTTAGGGGATTCTTTCCTCAGCATACAGATTGAATAAATATAGTAAATGGATATAACACTGACTCCCATTTTAAACCATACAATGAAAGGACAATGCTCTGGATTGATTGTGTCCCAAAAAACGATATGCTGATGTCTTAACCCTTATACTTGTGTGAATGTTATCTTGCTGGAAATAGGGGTTTTATTTTGTTATCAGCAATATTAAGTGATGATTATGGATATCAGCTATTTTATATGACATTTTATGTTCATGTTATTTAAGCAGGGGAAAAGATATGTCAGGTTGCAATGAACATTCTCAGTACTCAGCTCATTGTCTCGATGTCAAAACCAATAAACAGCTTACCCTCCACTGGTTTTGGAGGCTATAAATCAACAGGAGGAGGTTGCCCATCTTTCTTCTGTGGAGCAGCAGGTGAATTTGAACCACCAGTAGATGTGGCCTCAGGGTTAGCAGCACGACTCTCTACAGCCTATGCCACCAGAGTGATGAAGCACAATGATCAGAAGCCACAGAAGCAGAAAAAGGGAGAAGAAAATGGCAGGAGTAAAGTGAGAGAAAATGTTTCATGCATAGATCATTGACTGTAGCTGTGACCCACTTGGTAAAAAAGGGCATAGACAGCGCTCTATTTCCATAGTTTCTGCTTTCTCAGTGAGACTCAGAAGACTCAAACTCACTACTATGTAGTCAGTTCCAACTCCTACCAACACTTCATCTGGCTTCCAAGGGTGGAAATCCCAATGAGAGGAGGCTGCTCTTCTTTCTCCTACTGGTGGATTTGAACAGTCTAACATGAAGGTGCTTGGTGAGTTGGGCTACCCAATTTCACAGTGAGTTAGGTGAACAGCACAACTAGCTACAGACTTTGCCACCAGAGTTCTTTTCTCAATGAGACTGTTACTGTTATTGTTAAGCGCCATCAAGTCAGAATCTTGACTCATAGCTGACCAGCTATCGTCAGTGGGTTTTCAGAGACTGTAAAGCACATGGGAGGAGATTGTCATATTCAGAGCAGCTCATGGATTCTTCCACCTGTCTTTGGATTAGCAGGGCAGCTCCCTCCCGAGCAAGCCACCAGAGCCTTCTCTCAGTGAGACTGGAGACTCCCTTATAAAGGCATGTGTTGTGTCTCCACCATCAGTCTGTGCTATCCCTGGGAGTAGGGGCTTTGTCTGTCTCTCACGTTAGAATCTTCCCTAAAGACAGGACTGGTTCTGTTGGTTACTCTATCTTCTAAGCTCCTGACACATTTAGCATAGGCAGATAGTCTTCAGCATCACCTTTGGGTTGTAGTGAACTAGGAACCAGGGAAGTGCCCCACTAATTTGAAGCTTAGTAAAGTGGTATCACATCAGATGATTTTTTACTGAAGTTCACCTTAGTTTCCTACTTCCCTAGAAAACTAAGAGTTTGTAGGCAGGAAAGATTCAGACATTTTCTCCTGATGTTGTTGTTGTTATGTGCCACCAAGTCAGGCCTAGCTTTCTCTCACAAAGTGATTGGAGGATTTGAATTGTCTGCCTTTGGGTTGGCAGCACAACTTGGCTCTAATTTCTAAAAGCAATTTGTCATGTGAATTTTTTCTAATAGACTTTTATCATAGTGGACAAGAAATGAAGCCACTGTCAATTCTTTTCTTTTTATAATTGTGATTTGAGCAAAAGTTTACAGAGCAGGTTGGGTTTTATGAATTTTTTTTTAAATAGACTTTCTTTTTAAAAAAATTGTAGGTTTACACGAAACTGTGCAGTAAGTGTGGGAGTTCCCACCTCCCACAATTTTCATTATCATTAACATTTTCCCGTGGGATAATGTATTTCTTATTATTGATGAACCAATGCTAAATACAGAGTTCAAGGTCTGCATTAGGGTTCATGCTTTGTGGGTATAATCCTATGGGTTTTGACAAAGGCATAATGTCATACATTCATCATTATGTTGTTGTTGTTTGTTGTTGCTATGTACTGTTGAGTTACTTGCAACTCATAGCAACCCTATGTACAATAGCCCTGAAATCTGCTCTATCCTGAGCCAACCTTATTGTCTCTGACACACCTACCCTCATTACCCCAGTCACTGAATCAATCCGTCTCATCAGGGGTCTTCCTCTCTTGCACTGTTCCTCTACCCTTCCAAGCATAATGTCTCTCTCCTTACAACATGTCCAAAGTATGTCAGACAAAGCTTCAGAATCCTCACCTCTAAGAAGCAGCCTGGTTTCATCCTTTCTATAATGAG